TCACTGACAGCAGCAGAAGAGTATGTCATGGTAAGTGTCCAAGAATAGTTATTTTCAATTTTAATATGTTTTTAATTCTTACTTTCCTTTAATTCTTACTTTCTCCTTACTTCCTTTAATTTCCTGATGGAAACCTATTGTTTTCGTTGATGAAAAGGCCTCATGTAGCTACTAGTATAACAGTACATTTTAACTTGTTACTGCACCTGAACCATGCAGCTAGTGTTATGGTTTTACTTTATTAAAGGCAGGCTTACCAGCACTAACTATGTATCCTTTTCTCCCTGTAGCTGAACCTGGAGAAGTGAGGGTCCCCAGTGGACAAGCATGTATTCTGCCCAAGAGCCACCAGGGACCTCAGCTGGAAGCTCTTTTATCGAGCCACCACCACAGACATGCATCTGGCACACTCGACGGACACCTTCAACCCCTGCCCCTTCTGCCAACAGAGGGAGACCCTGGCGAATGCTCACCTTGAGTATGCCAAGTTGCATCCCCTTTTTTTGCCTCCTATAGAACCTCCTGCTGAGGTCCTGGATGCATTTCTCCCCGTACCTTTTCTGTTATGCACTCCCTGTCTGTGGCCTCACCAAGTCCCTGGACCTCCTGGTCAGCTGTCTCTTTGGCTCTGGCCAAGGTGGCCATATGTCAGACCAGGAAGGAAGCTGGTCAGGAGGATTCTGAGCAAGTGTGGGGCTGTTTTCCTTTCACTGCTTTCACTGGTCTACATCCACAGGTTCCTCATCTCTGCTCGGTGTCTTGTTCCAGATCCCTTGTTGTTATTAACCTGTGACATCACCCCCTTCCCTGTTTTCCTATTATTTGTCCCCCAGATTCAGTTGATATGTCCCCAGTGGCCTGCCTCATTAACCTCTGATTAAAAAAAAAAAAAAATTCCCAATTTTCAAATCCACACTTTTGGTGATTTAAGTGAAACACATTTATACACGCACACTCTCACTCTAGTGTTTCATTTTAGGCACAGAAAAATGTGGATTTGGGGTTGCTCTTTTTTAAACCAAAAATTGGGGATTTTTTTAATTTGGATAAAACCAGGATTCCTGTGCATTAAGGGAGGCTTATAGTTGTCTTGATGGGCTTAAGAACAGGACCATTCAGCACATGAAATAGGTATATCCCCAACAGTGGCAGGAGTGGATGCTATACAGGGGGAGCACCAAACTGGATATCTCTAGAGTGATCTGTCCCTTATTCCTGTGTTTCTCAACCTGTGGTACACGTACCCCTGGGGGTATGCAAAACATGGGCAGGGGGGTACGTGGGTGCTGCGTGCCCCCGCTCCCCACACACACACAGAGCAGGTTGGAAGCGTCTTTGCCTGCTCAGGCCAGAAGTTCCAGATGCCGCCCCTCTCACCGTGTCCGGTGCACTGGGGCTTTCACTCACTAGCGTCAGTGTACTGGGGGATAGGGAGGGAGGCCCCGTGCAAGCTGCTTTGCCCCGGGCCGCAGTGGAAAAAGTGGGACTCAGCTCACAGTGGTGAAACCAGAAGTGCCACGATGCAACTTCTGGTTTCACTTTGGCAGGGGGTATGTAAGGTACCAAAGGTTGAGAACCACTGCCCTGTTCAATACCCTTCCTGGCATCCACCACTTATTGGATTAGAGCTACCAAAGGAAACATGTCCAATCATTTTGTTAAATAGCCATTAGTAGATCTATCAACCATTAATTTATCCAATCCCTTTTTGAACCTGGACATGCTATCTGCCTCCACCACCTCCTGTGGCAATGAATTCTACAAGTTAACGACATGTAAACTACAGTACTTAGGTTTAAAGCTGCCACCTACTAATTTCAGTGTGTGCCCCACCTGGTATTCTGGAGCTTGGTAAACAACAGTTCCCTGTTCATTTGGTCCATTCCCTTTATGATTTTATAGACCTCTGTCATATCCCTCCTCAGCTATCTGCTTTCCAAACTGAACAACTTTAGCCTTTTTTGTCTTCCCTGGTATAGCAACTGTTCAAGGCATCTGATCATTTTGGTTGCCTTTCTCTGTACCTTTTCTAATTCTACTATATCCTTTTTTAAATGTGGGGACCAGAAGTACACACAATATTCGAGATGTGGGTGCACCATGGATTTGTATAATAGCATAATGAGATTTCCTGTTTTGTTTTCAGTTCCTTTCTTAATGATGCCCAACATTTTTAATTGGCTCTTTTGGTTGCTACCGCACACAGAGTTGACGTTTTTAAAGAACTGTCTACAATGACTCCAAGGTCTCTTTCCTAATGAGTCATAACAGCTGGTTATTTTTAACACCCTCCAGTGGCCCCCTGAGCTTGGCTCAAGGAATACATGCTTGCCATAATAATCTCATTCCCACCCTGGACAATTTTATAATCCTGTCTGGTCTTCCTCCCTATTTCTTCTTAAGCTGGTTCTCTTTCTGAAAGCAGAATTGAATCAGTAGGGACCCAGGTCAATAAAGGTGTTCTTTGGCTGAGGTTAGGGCTTCCTTTGTTCTTTCACCTAATAATATACACCTCACTCCCAGCACAACTCCTCCACCCTTCGGACAAGTGCCCTAATTCCACCCAGTTCCCCTCCCCCCACCCTTGGAAATTGGGTCACCTTAACCATAAGTATCACAGTGAAATGCAGTGACTCCTACAAACTTTACCACCATTTTCATGTATTACACAGGACAAACAGCTGAGTTGGCTTGGTTTTCAAAGCTGGCTTGATCCGCAGCAAAAACAAGTAAAATATTTAACATTTTAATACATTAAAAAGGCCAAAAGTTGGCTTGATCTGGAGCAAGAACAAGTAAAATGTTTAGGATTTTAATACATGAAAAAGGCCAAAAGGTGGGAGATGCAATTTTCCTCCGTTAGCCTGCAATTTATTTTTAACAGATAGCTCATAAAGCATGGTTTGCCTGCCAAGAGCAGCTACCCCCTTTCCTTCCTGAGGTGTTGCATTACACTTCCAGAAACACGCATAAGGTGAGTAGGAATTGCAGCCCCTTTGGTAGGAGAGTTGAAGTGGTTGCCTGTAGGCTACTGAAGGTATATACGTCCCAGGTACATTGTCTCTGGAGAAACAGGCAGAGGGGGAACATCTGGTTGCTGCAGGCCTCAGCTGGACTCACCACTGCATTGTTTTCACTATAGGTGGGATTGAAATGTGGACATGTATGTGCAACAGTGGTTTAAACATTGGGTAGCAGATTTAACCCTAATCATAAACTAACTTGCGCTGATTTAAAGTGGGTGTTGCACTGATTGAAAAGTGTATGTGTATGCATTGCACTGATTGGGGAGGAGGGGTGTTGTGTGTGCATAAAAATCTATTAAATCTCTGTGTGTACGTATATGTGTGTGGTGCCGATTTGGGGGCGGGGGGGTGGTTTTAACTTCACACGCAGCAGATTTAACTCTGCTCATAAAGTCGCCTATGTTGACACACCCGCACAGGCTTAAATTTACACGAGCCCCTTTCGGCAGCCGCTTCTTTCCCGCTGCCCCGCCCCCTCAAGAAGTCCGTCCTCCCCCGGAAAAGGCCGGGCGGGCACGGCACGCGGCGCGACCCCTGCGGTCAAGGGCAGACAGCCCCGGGGCCCGCCCTCCCCAGGCCGACCCTGCGCAGGTAGTTGCAACTACAGTTCCCGGAGTACCCCGCGGCCGTGGAGCAGGCCGGGCCCGGGCGCGCGCGGCACGCCGGGAGCTGTAGGCCCTGCGAGAGGCCGCGGGGTGGGATGGG